TAGTGAGAATAATCCTATTAACATTCTGAATTTATCCTCCTTAGAAATACAGCATAAATATGTGATGTTCTGTGAAGGCTAACTTCTCTTTGAATTGCTGCTGAATTCAGTAAAATATGCCTGAACGTGAGCCTGAATGTCAGAATGAATCCAAACCTAACCCATGAAACGTTTGTCCTGGCTTTCTTTCACAGTGCCTTTCTGAAGCATAATAAGACCTACCGGGCTCTTAAAGCCACCTGTGATGAATCAAACAGACCCACACCTGAGTGCTGAGGTAATGTCAGACTGCTGAAACCATCAAAACATCTGATAAAGAGACTACAGACAGGATATGCACACATTTCCTGACCACTCACCATCTTTCAGAGGTCTGAAGATCACTGGTTTTCCTTCCCTCCCTTATAGAGTTAGGCCTACTGTACGCCCCTAATCTGTGCAGTCGTCATAGTCATAATTCTTTTACTGTATGGATTTGGAAATGTGATAAACAGTTTGAAGTTATGGCATGAGCATATTCCCGCGATATTTGAGCGCAGTGTGAGGTGTCTCAGTGTAGGCAGATGTGAGCATTTATTCACTTTTCCTGTGTGAGCACTTTAACTCCCTTAAGCATGAGGGGCAGGAAGAGAGAATGGAGGAAACATTAGCAAATCAAAGAGTGCTACCCTTTAACCCCTCTCCATCCTTCTGATCAAAGTTAGCCTTGAACTCCGACCTTTGTGTAAAAAAGAGGAAAAAAAAGTTAAAAAAAATAAAAAATACATGTGAAACCGAAGAACAAAGCACTCTGTCATTTTGGAAAGGCCAGATATTCCCTAGGTACTTTTTCCTCACGGAACCAGAATATAAATTATGTTGTCTTCACAAGTCCCCTCCAGTGTGAGTTTCTCCTCCATTCATTTCCGTTTGTGTGTCTCTCAGTGTGTGTATACAGTAAAGGCCTTCAACAGAACAGCCAGGTTAAGGTCAAGTGTCACAGCAAAGTATCATTTTATTCTCTTCCAACATAAATCTTGATAAGGGCTCTGTTGTAATGTACATCTAATCAAAAGTAGGTCTACTATCAATCAATTTAATTCTGATTTAAGGACAGTTTAGCCAAATATTCTGTTAGAATGGGGGGAAATGACCCCCTACTGTTTTTCCCAAAATAACCACTAGATAAAGTCAAGAGAAATTTTTGTTGTAACTATAGACTAGACTACGTTGGACAAGAGTGATGTAGGAGTATTCACCATAAAGCTTACACTGGTGATGTTCCTGAGAGAAAACAGATTTCACAGTAAGTGATTAATTTTCAGCTTTAATTTTCACTTTTTACAAAAAGTGTTTTAAAGCTTGTTGTTTTGAAGAACATCACAGTTATATGATATGAGAATAGCAAGGCCTGTAGATGGGGAGTATGTGTTAAGACAAATATAACTAAATATCCAGAATGACATCTTTTTTTTTTTTTAAACCTAGTCTGTGAGTAAAACTCCAACTGTTGACTTAATTACTGTAGCTAGTTACTCTGTTCTGAACATCAGATCCTTTGTTTTCCCATCAAATGTATTCTAACTAGTTGGTTGAATAAAAATATTTAGACTTATTATTATTATTTTTTTTTAATTACCTCAATTTAGCATCTGGTAGCTAGTTAGCTAGCCAGTTAGCATCAGCTAACAATATTTTTCAAATAGGCTATTATAATTTTGTAATTGATAATTATTTATTATATTCTATTTAATTCTAAGCTCAACCTGCCTGTACTCTCATTTTGCTGTAAATGTATAAAGCAAATTGCTTTGTCAGACTGGGGGCATTTTACCCCACCTTTGTTATTTGTATTCTGATAACATGAAAACTGGACATTTTTTCACACTTGGTTTATAATTTATGTCATTATCACTAAAACTACGATAACTATTCTGGACACATTTCATTTTTGTTTCACAGAAAAAAATGAAACAGTCCTTAAGGGGGGCGTTTCCCCCCACTCTACTCTATTTACTCAGAATGACTGTCAGTTACCATTTACTTCCATTTTATGGAGAAAAAAAAATGCAATGAAAGTTAATTGTAACTGAGTCTGTCAGTCCCTCGCATTCTACCTAACATCTCTTTTCGTTTCACTTAAGAACGTCATACGGGTTTGGATTGGAATGATGACACAAGCGAATACACAAAAGTTTTTAGATATATTTCCAAATGTGTTTCCACGTGTGGCCACAAGATGGCAATGTTGGGCTGTCAACGATTAACCACGCGCCTCCTAATTCTTTGAGGAGCCCAAAACACAACATGCGATTTCTTTTCATTTCAACTCAGTCGTTATACGTATGTACAAAATATCCACACTTTTTTTTTTTTTAGCATTTGTCATCACCGGCTGAAACTCTTATTTCTCAATTTCTCTGCAACGTCAAACTGAGATGATACACAAAGTCAGAGGTAATAGCCTTTACTGGTTATTTTGATAGGCTACATTAATGAACACAGTTATTATCGAGTTGCTTTCTCGCAGTCTGACCTTGACGCATAAAAAAAGAATTAAAAAAAAGAAACATTTTGTACCGATTTACTGCATTCTATCAAAACTACCGGACAGTGTTAATAGCCTTTTATATATAAAGATATATAAATATATATAGGCCTAAAATGTTGGCATGCGGCCTAATAGTTTGAAACTGACAAAAGTAACTTACTGATTGAATTATCTCACGTGACAAGAACTTTGTTTCACATTATGATTTATTTTATGGTAATTCAATTCAATTATGGGGTTAGTAGGCTACTCATCAACGACAGCGTGATTTATGTGGACATCTGTTTTACAAATCAAATAGATTTTGTCGCTGTCAGCAATAGGATTAGTTGTATTATATAAAGGTTAATTTGAACATTTTTATATGATTATCATGAATACGGGCACATGTTTTTTTTTGTCTTTTCTTTTCCCAAATGCACAGACATGCACTTGAAGCTATATATATTTTAAGTGATGCACAAAACGCGTTTTAATAGGCTAAATAACAGGTCTGTTTCTTATTTGGACACATGAAAATACACCGTTTCCACTGAGACTCCTTGTGTAGTTTCTGCCACTTAAAACTGCTGTGTGGGAATGTAGGCTAAATATACAGGGACCCGCAGGGGGAGCAGAATTCCCTTCTGCCTGACCAGCACTGGATTGGACGGGACTCTCTTATACTTCCTCTGTCCGCTGTGGAGGATTTTATTTAGGTCTAGCAATATTTCCCGTGCATGACTGTGCTCACTTTTGCACATTTCTAAAATAGGCCTATAATAAAGCTTTATATTTGCATTCTAAATCTAAAACAAAACTATTGTTGTGTGAAAAAAAAAAAAAAAACACAAGCTGCTGTAAAATGGTTTGCGCTCCCAGCATTTACTCCTGTACATATTATTGTCGTTGTATATCGAATCTAACAAAGCAGCTGTTAAACTGTTTGGGTCTGAATATCCAGTTTTTTTTATGCGTTTACTGTCGTTTGTCAGAACAAATGTTTCAGCCTATAATATCTGTACATGACTTATTTATCAGCAATGTCTTTTTTTTTTAAATACAATGTATGCCTCTTAAATAATTTTATCATATTAGTAATAGGCTATTTTTCATTGATAACAACTGATCTGTTGGAAATAAAAGCCACAAACTTCACATTTAGTGTAATGCTTTAATGTATTTTTTACTAAATTTTTAAGGACTAATTATGCCACAATTATTAACTTCCTCACATTATTTGTCAAACATGTCACATGAGCTAAGGTTTCTAGCCTACATAGGCTATACATTTAATAAAAACTCGTGTCATTATTTCGATGACAGGTGATCTCTTGTTTATTTCATCATGGTCTTAATTCATTTGATTTGACAAACGTGTTTTAAATAAAGAACAATATTATTAAATATTATTAATATGACCGCGGCTGCTTGGGGTTGTTTCAGTAACAACAAACGTTATATTACAAAAGTTAGTAAGAGTTAACAAATGCTCAAAAACAGAAATAGCGTTCGCCTAGCAGGTAACCATAGCAACAGTAGGCTGCTTGAGCACTTTGTGTCAGGACCATTATCGATATTTCAATAAAAATAAATAAAAAGACTGTCATTTATCACTTTATTATATTTACATTTCTCAAAAACACTGTTGCGTTTTGTTAAAAAAATTATTTAGGATAATTGATTTTTTTGCTTAACTGTGCAACGGGCGCCAAAAGACAACTTGAACGTCTCGAGACGAACCTTGAAAAATGCCTTTCAAAAGTCCAACCCTTGAAAGTTATTAAATAATCCTCGCGCTAGCTCATCCCTAGTATTTAAAGAAACTTAGTGTGCAGTTTCTAAAATAACCTTGCAATATTAAAACAAATAACTCAGCGTTCAAGTGAACCACTTCAATTTGACTTCAGTCGCGCGCTCCGGTAGGCAGTTACTCGCGTCGCGTGATATTTAACGCGCGCATGACTTCTTTCTAGTTTTCTCTCTAAACACGCCGCTCGCTAAGTGGGCAGGGCGGGCTGTGATATCTAATTAGGCGACGGGCTTCGTGGTTGGGTGGACAGCAAATGGTAGTTCGGCTTTACTTATGTTTGGGGGGCGGCCCTGCGTGCGCAGTCACTCTCTCCTCCTCGTCCTCCTCCCTTTGGGGTTAGTTTGCTTGTGTTTAGTTCCCAGAGACAGTCAAATCAGATTCCTTTGGGAAAGGACACAAATCACTCCCGTTTGAACAAGGGGAACAGCGAGGGAGCTGTCTCCACAAGGGTCCACCTCTCCTGGTTGATTTCATATTGCTCATTCATGTGATTTGATCAAAGGATACGCTTTGTGGAGAAAGACAGGAAAGGAAAGGAAAGGAAAGGAAAGGAGGAGAAAATAAAGAGAAAAAAAGTCTCTGGATGATGACATTTGATCTAACCCTCAGTGAAGCTCGTTTCTGATCCTATTGTTTCTTAAAGTGACATTAGACTTTTTTTGCGCACGGTAGACCAAAGGGACCTCCAGTCTAATCTTGCAGTTTTTGTTTGTTTGTTTATTGTTGCACGGTGTTCCCAAACCTGGATGTTGACATCTCGCGTTTCTTTTGGCACGTCGCTCTATTTTCTGTTTCAGAGAGGAAGCGCTAATAGAGACAAACGCGGTGACACCTGCTCACCCATACACTTCTTACTGTCTTTTTTTAACGGAGCGATCAAAAGAAGCAAGCATCGACTGAGACGGTGACAGGAGTCTGTTTTCATGTTCGGGATTCAAGACAGCATTCAAAGGAGCGGGAGTAGCATGAAAGAGGAGCCCATCGGTGCCGGGATGAACGCTGTCCGGACATGGATGCAGGGTGCCGGGGTGTTGGATGCGAACACAGCCGCTCAGAGGTAAGCCGGCGGCGGTCTTCAGCGCTACGGGAACAACTAGACGGAATATTGTGCGCTTATCATCCTGGGACGACACAAAACGCTCTTGTATATCATCCTAATCAGTGCGCGCTATCTGCTTATTAATAACCAGGTGACAAAGAGATTGATTTATTGCTGCGATAAGTTCATAGCATCCTCTTCGGCGTGCTGTTGGCACCAACAGACAGAATGCTTGAGTTGCAAGTCATATTAAAACGGTTTTTTTATTTTTATTTCTAACAATATTATTTTTAATGTTAAAATAGACATTTGCTTAAAAAAAGCGATTTATTTTTTTTGCTTCTAAACAACAATTTTGCATTGATTCTGTAGCTTTACATTTTATATACTGAATTTGAAAGACAATCCAGACCTGTAGTTTGTCACAAGCAGCTGAACATAGTAGTTAGATTCAGTTATATTTATATTAATTATTTTTGATTAACAACAATGACATATTATTGTTATAAAATGCTACTTAAGAGAATAAAATAATTAAAACGTTTACATACAGTTTTAATTTCTGTTTTTAAAAGACTAGCCTATCATTTATAGGCTATATTAATATTTGTTTAAACTATTAAATTGTCAAAAGTACATTTTAAGAGCTTTTGCACTGCAATTTGAAAACTACAAATATTTTTTAACCCTTTTTAGGAAATTGTTATTAAATAATCACAAAAGTATTGTTTTTATTTTTTTAAATATACATATATAAATATTTCATCCTCTCTCTGTCTGTCTTGTGTGTTCATAGTGGAGTGGGTCTTGCTCGAGCACACTTTGAGAAACAGCCTCCTTCAAATCTTCGCAAATCCAACTTCTTCCACTTCGTTTTAGCGCTATACGACAGACAAGGACAACCCGTGGAAATTGAAAGAACTACTTTTGTTGGATTTGTTGAAAAAGAAAAGGCAAGTGAAACGTTCTCTGTTGCATATTGGTTTTGCAAATTTGAATGAAAATGGCTTGTCAATTCTGATAATTATTATAGACTAATAGATAAAATGCCATTGATATTACCCTAAAGTTGAAAGCTTATTTGCCTATACTTAATGCATAATTTTCTTGCATTAAATTACTGTTCTGTCATGAATCTCTTAAACCTCCATTTAATTATTATGTTTTTATTTTTACATATTCATCCCTTATAAATTAAGAGAGCCTCAAGTTTTATATTTTCCCTTCAGTTTTATGCATTTACTAACACACCTGTATAGTTTGCAGAAATGTTACAGTGATAACCTAATGCCATAAAGTTAATATTCCCTTTCAAGATGCTATTAAAAAAACAAATTATTTTTTTATTATTGTGAAGGACCATATGATGCTTTAATAAAAAATATTCTAGGCAAATAAAATTGTTTGTAAGCATTTGTAAATTAATCTGAGCGACGTGTCTGCTGATTTAATTAAAATATGGCTATTAATGCTTACTGTATATTTAGACACTTTGTACACGTCTATACCCCGAGCACATTGTTATTGAATTGTGAAATCACACTGTACAATACACAAACTTTTTTTTTTCTTTTAAGACGTGAGTAGGCTATTTTTTAACCCGTTCGTTTACTCATGACTATATTTTGTACCGTTTTTGTTTCGGCTGGCTAATGCGCGTTTGCAGTTTTTTGTTTGTTTGTTTGTTTTCTACGGCCTCCTGGTCCGCAGGGAAATAGCCGGTCTGACTCACGGGGCTCGTCAGAAATAGTCAAACAGGCTTTTCTTGCTAACCATCGAATTTATTTTTGCAGGAAAGTACCGGAGAAAAGACAAACAATGGGATCCATTACAGATTGCAGCTTCTTTACAGCAACGGTAAGAAGGAGCGCATCATCTAAGACTCATTGAACTTTGCATAAACACATGCAAACACGTTTCCCTCAACTTTTTGCATAAAAAGGGATTTACTTCAGCGCGACAATCTGAATAAAACAAAAAGACAGCGAGACTGATAGAACGACGAGGAGGGGTGACAAAGAAATAAATAATTCATTATGTAGCTAGATCAAGCTGATTGAAATGAATATAATGTACTGAAATAATAATAATAAACTGTTATAACAATTCGTATAATTGTTCAAACAAAAGAGATTAAAATGCGCAGCAAATTCGTAGCGTTTTAACTATAAACATTAATGAAGCACAAAACGATCCCCATTAGTGCGCTTTTCCGGTTACGCGTTTTCCAGAAATGTGCTCTTCATTTTTGATGGAAGCTAATGGCCTGGCCATAATGAAAGTACACTCTTTTCTGTCTGCTAATGTGGTAAATGACAACCAGGCGTTAGAAAATGTGTTGCGCCAGGCTCTCACGTTCCTAAACCTTTTTATTTGACGTTTTGAACATATCTGTAATTGTTATTTTTGATTATGTCTATTTCACTATTTTATGAGCTGCACAATTTTTTTCTTATATGCTTTTTCTTTCTAAAAGCTATTTTTAAATTTAATTTATGTATGTGGGTCTATAAAAGTTTGAGTTTCATCCGAAGCCAATTTTTTCACAATCCTTTAACACTGTCTGGAGTCTATGTTGGGTTGGGTTGTCTAGACATTTGAAGAATCTATGTTGTATTAAAGCCATGTCATTGTGAATGATAAATATATACCTGCCGGTTTCATTTCTGATCCATATTTGTGCGTATATATCCTGCATTGTATTGTGAGTTAAAGAAGACTTCTCTCCTCTCCTCTACAGGCATCAGAACAGAACAGGACTTTTATGTACGCCTGATTGACTCCATGACCAAACAGGTAAGACGTTATTTCAAATTCCCCACAGTTCGCGGGTGAATCGTCTGGTGAGAGTCTGTGTGTGATTTGAAGTGAGAGTGAACGTGTGCATGTGTGCCGTGCACCCTGGTGAGATTGGAGTTACACACTCTAGCATGCCTCAGGGGCACGAGGATCGGTTAGTGTTTAAATATGACATACTCTCTCTGGGACATCATTTAAGATGACTGAGCGTATGCATGTATTTATGTGCATACGTGTGACAGTGAGATTGATAGCTAAAGAGAGAAAGAAAGAAAGAAAGAAAGAAAGAAAGAAAGAAAGAGACTTTCAGTTGTATTCATTTTCTGTCACAGGGGATTATCCAGTGGTGCCTTTCAATGTTTAAACAGCATACTTTAAGTGTGTATGCGCCTGACTCTCATGCAACGACTATGGATCTATCTGTGCATATTCAAATGTGTTGTGGGAACAGATGTGTGTTATGAACAAACATGTATGAAGATTGTTATAGCTTGTTGTATTAACTGTGCAGGTTGTGAGTTTGAACAATGGAGAAAAACTCATATGAGAAAACGCAGGGCAGCGAGAGTGACCTCACAATCTCATATGTGGCGCTCTTCCTTTTCCCCCTAAAACAGAAACAGCCTTTCCCCCTCTCTCATTCTCTCTTTCCCACTCGCCCCCTCACTTCCTCTCTCATGATCTCTGTCTATAAATGTTGTTTTGAAGACACTTTAGGGAAGTGTATTCAACCACGCAAATAGTTGTGAGTCAAGAAGTGTGACAATAAATTTGAGTTCAAAGTTTAGTTCATAATTATGAACGAGAGAAAAATATTTAGAATACACCTGTAATCAAATAAATATGAAAAGCTATTTTGATTAATATCTAAAATAATTGTATTTCTTATGAGCTGTTTTCTTAATAGTCATTTTGTATGACAAGTAATATGTGTGTATGTGTGACCCCAGGCAGGATGAAGTGTGTATAGATATGAGGTAATTAGCAGGCGGTGTGACAGACAGCCTGCTAACGCTCCGAACACTTAGTACATCATGTGATTTAAACATGCCAGCACACTTACCCTATTGTTCCACCCTGTTGCTACTGTTTTGCTTCATTATGTGTGTGTATGTGTGCTTATTGAGAAGTGGAGAGTGAGAGAAATACTAAAACTCATCTCAGAGTTATTTTAATTTGGTGCTTATTTTGTCTAAAAGTATAAAACATTTAGTCTTTTGCAGAATGTGTTCTTAAATTTATTATAGTTTGTATATATTTTTTAAAACAACGATAAATTAATGTAAGAATTGTTCATATTTATTTTACAATTATCAATATTTCTTCTTGATAATACATTTTTATTTTATATTTTTTTTATTTATATATATATTTTAAAAAGCAAATATTACATTTTCATTCATATACTTCTTGTCATGACCAAAAGCATTCATTTCTATTCAGAAATTCCTACTACAAAATCCCTGGATGTCACACTTGGCACAAACAATTCCGCAGCTCCCCTTTCTGTATTGTGTGATTTGTTTGTGGTTTATAATTTCCTTTGCATGAATGTTTATGTGTGAGAAGCTAGGTGCTGTTACTGATGCTAGTTCTTGCCCTCGCTCTGCTCAGCGGTTTGGCCAGCGTGTAGCGGGACAGATTTATGTGTGTGGGTGAAAGGCAGGAGCGTTGTGCTGAGGTATAGAGACTGTTCTCTGACACCCCTGAGGTAAATACAGTGGCCAGGGGAACTGGCCTCGGCTCAGCCTTTCACTGAGTGTCTCAATAAATAGCCGTTTATCTCCCCAGGGTTGTCTCCCACGTACACATTTATTACCGACTGATTTACTGGCTATTTCTGTGGCAAACGGCCCTGCCATACCTGTTAATGATGTGGTGCCACTGAGTGAGCGAGAAAGAGAGATAGTGTGTGTGAAAGAAAGTTTGGCAGCCGAGTCAACATGCTAGCTAGTATCAGATAGTAAAGCATGGTACTTTGAAATAAACTTGGTATTTACATAAAAATGTGAAAATTTTTTACCTTTAGGGATACAAAAGCATGTCAGTGTGGCAGTACTGATAAAGGAACAACTGTACATTTTTTACCCCTAAACTGTTCATAGTAGTACCTAAAGGGTACATATTGTTACACTGAGGTACAAAGTTGTCTTTTTAAGGGTATCAGTGACAAGCCCCTAAAGGTACTATTTTTGTTTCTGACAGTATGTACTTGATATTATCATGGTATCTCCAAAAAACATGGTGAATACCATGTTTTGGGGTACTGCTCAGGACTTTCAGCAACAAAAGACTGTTTCACTACATTTCCCAGAATCCCTTTCTCAAACGTACATACAGAGGTGGAAAGAGTACTAAAATATTATACTCAAGTAAAAGTACCATTACATTAATAAAATTTTACTTGAGTACACGTAACTACAAAAAGTAACTTATTTAAAATTTACTCAGAGTAAAATGCAGGGCTGCGGCCCTCCAGGAACTTTGACAGGAGTTTGACACCCCTAGGATAGGCCTATAAATCTCAAACCAGTTGTTTTTAATTAAAGCAATCAGTTATTTAAAATAATAAGACATTTAGGCTGTTACCAGGCAAATTAAATCAGTATCAACAAAATGCATCTTTTCAATGCAGAGGAAACACAGAAGCTTCATCAGAAGTGGTATTTAGATGTATTTACACACTGTTTAATGTAGGACATTAATGCATTTACAAATGCAGAAATAATTTTTTGATAGGCTATATAGGCCTAAGACATAAAATGTTGAATACTCATTTGAAATTATAAAAATAAATAAATGGCACTCTTTGTGTGATATTGATTTACTATATGAAATGATATAAATATATACATTTTCTGCCCCTATGTCTTCAATTTTGTGATCATTTATTTCTAAATGCATTTTAACAGACTGAATCACGCAGTGAAAGAACACACTCTAAATGCACGCGTGCACTAGTCTAATATACTAGACTTCACGGCACTCTGTTAGGAGTGTTTTGTTTGTTTTTTGGCAAAATACTGATAATGTCAAATCGCACATCGTTAAAACAACAATTACGATATTATTGCAGACGATATATATCGCACACCCAGCACCACTGTCTTTTTGGCTAATTTGTGCAAAACCTTTTACTAAACTGTCAAAGCTTCATTTTAACCACCAATGCAACGATGCAAGTAGCCTATTTACCTTACCTTACATGCTTGCGAAGGGTTGATGTCGAGATTTTATAAGCTGCTAGTTTGGTCTCCCTAGGCAAACACAAATATGGCCAGGGGTTCACTTCATTTCCTTCGAGTTCAACTTAAGGGGCGGTCACACTAGACTTTGAACGTGCTAAATTTTTTCGGACGCCGCTGCGAATATGGGCGGGAGCAGGATATGACATCACACGCCAAGGTTTCCCCTCAGTTATCACAACATGGATTCCGATGTGCTTGTACTGTGTCTTTTGTGACGGCGTCGAAAGCATCTGGAAAGGAGAAGGCTTTTTTAGTGCGAAATTCAGTAATTCCAATAGGAATCCACATAATCAGGATTTTTTTTTTTGAGGGTGAAAAATTTGCAGATGCAAATTTCGCAGCGTGTTCAAGTTGGTCACATGGTTTCACCGCAATGACCAACAGAACGCTGTTTGGTATGAAAGTGACATCAACAAATTATTGACAATACACAAAGGACCCGCTAAATTTTGATGAATACGAATTTTGTTGAATGCACCTTTTTTGTGTTAAGAAAAACTGGCTTTATGTCTGGCTCCTCTTTAGACTTTTCTGCTCTCATTGTCATTTGACTGCGCCGAGTTTTTCTCATCCATGTCAGCATGAAACACGGCTTAGGTTATGACAGAGTGTTAGCTGGTCTTTAAATGCCTTTCAGAAAACCCAGTCCAAAACCACTCTGCGGTGAGCAGTCAGCCTACATATGCTGAGGAGTGCTCGCAATGTGTTTAAGATTTCCCATCAAAGCCCCATAACTCTGTACAGAGAGGCTACAGAGCGCCTCTCCACTCAGCATGTGCAGGCTTTGGCAGTGTTGGGCCGGGAGGGCTGATGAGCAGGTTTATAGAGCTGTTCAACACACACTTCTCTTTAGCACTTAGCAAGGCGGTAAAGTCCAGTTGCCTGACCACACAGTTAGCTTCTGTACATGCACACAGCTATTAGAGGCAATCAAACAACTTGGGCTAGAGCTGCAAGGATCAACTTTGCGTCAAAATCAAGAAACGGTTCACGTTAAGCACATGAAAATGGACATATTCAGCACCCCTCTTATGCTCACGCTTTCAAAAAAAACACATATACGCGTTCCTGGTTTGCCTGTGGGAACGGTTGGAGCGGGTGAGGAGAGATGGAGCGGGTGTCAAACTGACAGGCCGTATCTGTGATCAATGCATGAGCTCGTGACAGATCTGATGAAGACAATGCAGTAAAAAACTCTCTCTCTCGCTCTTTATCCTTCCATCCAACTGTTTCCGTCAACAGCTGAAGCGCAGAACAAAAGCGAATCACATACACAGGCTTAATGCGCACACACACTGCGCTGACACGCTAGCGTGATGGTAACAAAGTGGGAAATGTGTTTTCATGTATTTACAGTGCATTGTTTACATGCCTCAGATGCGGCTGTCAGTTCAAGGCGGCACTGGCGGCTCTCAAACGAGATTTATGGAGCAGTTTGTGCAATATAAAATATGCATTAAAAGCAGCATCAGGGCCTAATGAAAGCTTCACACACACCTCGGTACACCGTGCCATGCATGTTTCATGCGCTCCGTGGCCCTTCTTAAGGAGAGCTTTGTTCAGAAAAGTGCTGGGCTGGAACTGGTTGGTAACTCTGAGCTGTAGCTTGCCTGTTGCTGTGTGTGTGTTTTCTAGAGCTAAGCTTCGGGCAGATTCCTAAATAAATTTGCACGGGAGAGAGGGAGGTCTCGGTCGTTCGTTCTGCTTGTGTGCATATTTTTCCTGTTAATTGCGGAATAGGGTGTGTTTACATGCCAGGAACACTTCCCCAAAGTATATGACATGCAACAAAGTGACACAAATCTCCTATATTAGATATTTCCTGTAATCAGTAGCTGTTTGGCGACTCTGATGATGTCAGATAGCGCGTGAATTGCCGCTCTGTGCCAGGCCACATAAAGGCTTAATGCTACTCATTTGCAAATATTTACACACACAAGCTTTGAGGGCCTAAAGATCCTAGTGATTAAGTCTACTCATCTACATTGAAAATGTAAAATCTGTAGCAAAGAAAAAGCATTCAAAGCTACTATATACCACAATCTTAAAGACATTTTTGTTGCAACTTGGTGATAAAAAAGTGAGGATATTTGAAACAATAGTGTTTTTTTTTTGTTGCTTTTAATTAAACCAAAGTCCCACATAGGCAAAAAAAAAAAACAGTCCTACTACACCAACAATGAAATAGAAAAATTTTTCCGATTGAATTTTTATTGATTTTATATTTTGGTTTCACGCTCTCCGAGTGTGTTTTCTTTAAATCTGAGCATAACTGAACCAAACCCACCTGAGACAAGACTGATCAGTCTAAGACAAAGTGTTTACTACACCAACAATGAAATAGAAAAATTTTTCCGATTGAATTTTTATTGATTTTATATTTTGGTTTCACGCTCTCCGAGTGTGTTTTCTTTAAATCTGAAACCAAACCAACCAAACCCACCTGAGACAAGACTGATCAGTCTAAGACAAAGTGTTTAAAATTTTTCATTTATTATTATTATTATTATTATTATTATTATTATAGCAGAATATTTTTACTGTCTGAAAAAAACATGAAATAATATTTTATTATTATTATAAAAGGCCCATTTTTACTGTCTGAGAAAAAACATGATAGAATGAATACAACATATTGTTTATAAAATTAAATACTTATATTATTGTTTTATATTATTATCTTACTGAATTATCTTGAAAATATTTACTTTTAGCATATTATTAAAATACTTAATTTATATTCAGTATTACATAAACAACATGCTGCATTTTGCCTTTGCATGACAGACGTCACGTCTGGGGCCACAGAAAAAACCCACCCGATGACGCTTCGTGTTGCGCTAGCTCGAATCCAGAGGAGGATGCACGACCATTGTTGTGCTTGCCTCTAAGGAGAAATTGATAAACTGTTTTCAGACTTTTTCCAGGCACTTATGTACTGTTCTCGGCATGGAGTTATTCCGAGTCTGTTTGCAGGGTCTTTGTGTGATAAATAGCCGGTCTTATATATGAAATGAATGTGTGGTGGTGTAGAGGACGTCTTTGTGTGGCCTGAACTGCTCTCTCTGCCTCCCGCTTCCTCTCAGAAAGCCTGCGGGGTCGAGGCTCTAGGCTCAGACAGTGATGCATGCTTGTGTGCTTTTAGAGGACCTTGACCCTCATTTCCGCAATGTGAAACCTACAAACAAATGTCCCCGATCACCTATGTCCTCTAATCACAGCAATGACAGGAAATAAAACATCAAATATGAATAAAGTTTGTTCTTTTTTTCTGGATCTGATGCTTTACTTATAAAACTTGTTTTCAAACAAGTGTTTCATGTCACATTGTGCACTTGTGAGGAAAACAGTTTCTCATTAGAACCATGAGCTGTTTTTCTGTGTCTTCAGTTGCCATGGGTGGCATGTATATGTGTGTTCAGAGAGAAAGAGAGAGTGATTCATGGCAAACGGGTTTAAGTGTGTGTGTGTGTGTGTGTGACAGAGAGCAGCCTGTTAATAGGCTGCAGTGTGTGTATGTTTTGAGTAGAGTCACTGATTCACGGCTGTGGGGGACATCTTGTGTGGAATTGGAGGATGGAAACAAAGCTGAGGTTTTTGGATGAAGTGTTAGCTGGGCAGATGGCTCGCTATGCTCCAGTCTGGCAGCCCAACTGCTTGCTGCACACATAAACATACACATGCAAATGCACAAATACATGTGTGATTGCATACACATGCATGGAGTCTAACAGATGCAGGCTTATGGCAGCTCACGCACATACATCTTTCCTAGAGGGCTATTTCACACTAGCTGGAGTACAACACTTCTTTCGAAGGACCTGTAATTAAGCAGTTTATCGGTTTGTCCTCCTCTATCTCTTTTTCAATTCACAAACATCTTTTCTCATGTGGTAATAAGGGTGCTTTGCTGTACAATAATGTTTTGTGTTGCTGTATTATTAGCCAATCTGTGAGCCCCGGATGCCTGTGGAGCGTGGGCACTGTGGCAAGGGTGGTGCGCTATGATATAATAGGACAGTAATCTGCACAGTCCAACAAACACTACAAAGTTCTTTTGATTCTCTACGTCTGCTTTTAATTAAACCAACGAGCAACAAATGATGGCCCTGAATGTTGTCAAGAGCATACAGTGCAGGATTGTACAAGATTCATAATTGAAGAATTGGCCTCTTTTCAGTTGATGGGAGTGAGTTGGAATTGAATCTATCCATCCATCCATCCATCCATATATCTATCATCTATCTATCTTTCATCTGTCTTGAAAAACTTTGCCTTTTTAGTTAAAAATGACAGCTACATGAATGTTCTTACATTCAATTTGAATCGCAATTCAGTCACACACATTTCCATTGTGAATTGTGTGCAGCTCTGATACAATTAACATCTAGCGTTAATAGTTTTTGTCGAATCTGAAACAAAGATATCTGAAGTAAAGATACTTTGCAAATCTGAAGTAAAGATAAAATCAGTTGCCAGTTGTCAGTTACCAGTGATAATGATGTATTAGATTGGATCTTAAAGTAATAATTCACTCAAACATAAAAACTCTTGTCATCATTACTCACTTTCACGTTGTTCCAAACCTGTATGACTTTTTCTTCTGTGGAACATAAACAGAGATAGACAGAATGATCACGCTGCTCTTTCCCATGCATATAGGTTCAGAAAGTACCATAAAAATAGATAATTTAAGTAACGTTTTTGTGAAGAACACACAGACGTCTTTATTCATTGATTTGCAGATGTGCACATTCAAACTTTGCTTGTCGCCATGTTTGATGTCAATGACACCAAACACCATTGGTTCTCACATAACTGAACATGATGCGCCAAGTTTAAGCTCTTATAGAGGTGGTTAGGGATCGTTTTCCATTGCAGCAGGTAAGTGGGCATTAAATTGCCCACTTTGAGCCTGGCTCAGTCAGAGACGGCCCACCCCATACAAGGAGGCTCTGTACAAGCATTCTCACGGTGCACAGGGCAGTTTTAATTCATTGATTGATTGGCTGAAATGAAAAGACATCTATGAAATTCAGAGCCCAGTGTCTGGAGTGAGAAACATGGGACCAAATGAACAGAACATTCTGATAACAGAAATTAAAACCAACCTGATCATTCCCATGCTGCATGAGATCTTTCAATGGCAGTCCTCTGCCAGATGGAAGATGGGTAACATTAACCGCCTGTAAGTGCTGCAGTGTGTGTATGGCGTGATGTCATAATGTTTTTGTTTCAGTGAAACGATACAAACAGACATTTGATTCTTTTCGTGATAGGATTTAAACACCCTGAGAGTTAGTCATGGAAATTTGTGCATGCTCAGAGCGTTTACACCACAAGGAGAAAATGTTGTTTGCCAATTTTTCTCTAACCACATTTTTCCACCTTCTCTTGTTCATCAGGCAATTATCTATGAAGGGCAAGACAAAAACCCAGAGATGTGCCGGGTCCTGTTGACGCACGAGATCATGTGCAGGTGAGAAACACACACACACACACACTGTACGCCACACTCCTTCCTTCACTATTACACAATCAAGCTCTTGAACCTTCCCTACCCAGTTCTGCCCGCTGTCTGTGAGAGCTTTACTTTGGCATCGTTTTGGTCTTGGCAAGATTGCAGACCTCTGGATCCAGAGTTAGTGTGACAGGACTGAGCTTTCTGCTCACACACACACAGCTGTGTGTAAGCCCTGTTGTAAAATTAGATGTAAGGGGGAGGATAGATTAACATTATTATAAATTTGCTATATTATTCTTTAATTTATCATACACGTCCGTCAAACCTGGTATAAACAGTTTACTTTAATTTAAGAGGGATGTAGTACATTTATATCAAGGCTCAAGTTTAGAATTACGATGCACTATTTCACAAGACACTCCCAGATTATTTTTCACCAGTCCAAATGGGATCCTGATAAACTTATGCCAGCCTGTTTCCTATCAAAGTGTTCTTTCCCAGACTCTGCCTCAGCCTTAGAAATCAAAGCTTGGCTTTGTCCAGAAAAGATGCCAGGCAGCATTTCTATTTTTGGAGGCTGATGTTTCAGTGATTGGTGGTTCTTATTTTATTTCTTGATGAAATAAATACAGAGACACAAAAATACACTTCTGTACAGTTCATTTTGTGTGCCATTCAGAATTGTAATTCCTGAATATGTACTGAATTTGAACTGAGCAATTAGGATGAAGAATTGCAATTTGAATAATACCTTTTTAACCAAACTAATTTGAACTACAAAGCAAAGTTTGTGAAGACAAACATTTTTTATAATTTTGAGGAAAGTGTAGCCTTGAAGGTTTACAGAGATAGATGGATGGATGGATGATGTACTTGATGTTCACCCAAACATGAAAACAACATGAACAACTATTTTAAAACTGTATTACTTACTTTAGTCTGCTGAACATAAATAGAGATGTTAGACATCTTAATTGATTATGCTGCTCTTTCCCATATATATCCAAAATGTACCATAAAAGTAGATAAACAATAGCTTTTTTGTTAGGAACACACAAATATTTAAGCCATTATTCATTCATTTGCAGATATGCATATTTAACTTCCTATTAAATTCACATTATTGAATTGAAAGGGAGCCAATTCTGAATTTTGCTCATCCCTGTTTGTAGTGACAGCATAAGCAATGGAGTTTTCATGAGATGAAAACTGAACAAAGACGGACCTAAAGTTCAGAGCAACCCTTGTCTCTCTCCCTTCCTGAATCTCTATCCAGGTCATCCACTTCCTGCTCTGCAAGAAAAAGAGAGCGAGAGAAAGCCATGCACCTTTAATTAAAATCAAAAGATAAATTCCTTGCACTTAAAACTGGGTTGTGGAGATGAGTCCTCATCTATATTTGGTTGAAGTGGAGAGCATTTGAACAGTTTTCTACTAAAAATATACCACTCATGCTTGGCTAATTAGGACAAGGAAAAACTCATTACTCAATAAGAATCCTCTTGTTATTCCACAGCTAATGAATGCAGCTTGCTTTTAGTTTTGACAATGAAATATGTGCAGGAGAGCCAAGGCTCTCTCTTTCTCTTTCAATCTTTCGCACCCCCTCACTACCTTTCTTACACGCACACACACGCACACATGCACACACAGCCTTCTGTTATCGCACTTTCAAAATAGTCGCTGATTTAAAGATGTGTATTGACAAACACTTAGTACCATACGTGTCTACAAAGGCTCACCACGTCAGCTTTGATCTGCTACTGTAGGATAACACAGATCACGTCTGAAGCACATATCGCTACTGGTACAGAAAGGTACCCTTAAGGTCCCACGTTTCATACCAAAGAGCTTTCCAAAAGCATGTGTTTCAAATGAGTAAACAACCCATTCTCGTCTCTATCTTCCTCCTTTTTTCTCTTCTTCATCTGTATATGGTCTTTTGATGCAGAGCCTGTGCTGAGAGAAAGGCTCAATTACCAGTCTGCAATTAGACTGCTCTCCATTAATCAGGGCTGTTAATTGCTGTACGCCTTGCCATTAGCCATATGGTGCCGCATGGGCCTGCAAGCAAGAGACAGTGACGCATTTTCCCAAACAACTTGCTCAGAGGCAAGGCTACAAACAATCGCTCAAACGCAACTCTGGGCTCTTTATGATGGAGTTCCACATCCTCATACGCACGGATTGATGAGGTTTTGTTTGGTTTGTGTGGTGCAGATGAAACATCACAAACTTGGCCAGATTATTAAAGGCTGGGTGGTCACAGTTGGAGAAATGCTGCTTTGTTTGGTTTTGGGGGCTATTTTAGACCTGCTGTCTGTAAAGGAGCTGGGCTAAGGGTAGTTCAGCTTTAATGGAATCAGTACGGGCCACATCCTGGTAATTACGTGCGGCAATTTGGATTTAATTTCTTCAAACGCAGCAGGAGGAAACGCTTGAGATTAAAGATTATGGTTTCCCTGCAGGTCCGCTGGGATGGAGCAGAACGAGCCGGAATGGGTGAAAAATCCCCCCGAAAAAAAAAAACGAAGCCAGAGCATGCATGGAGTCATTAGCATAGACTTGATGGGGGGGGTTGGAGGTTCACGGGTGGTGGTGGGCAGCCGTGTTGTGGTTCCCCATGGGTTCTGACTATTGAGTTATCGGAGTGTCAAATCCATCTGTGCCCACCCCTCGCATCCCAGAAACTTTGCTCCTGTGTGACCCACTTTTGAGAGAACATTGCTAAAGACTTGACTTCTCTCAGAGGAGTGAGAGAAAATGAGAGCAGAGAGAGACAGGAAGGTAAAAATACGACAGCAAGAATAAACTGAGACAGAAGCCCAACCACACTGTGTCCAAACTAACGATGGCACTTAGACACCAGTGTGCATGAATGAGGGGTCAAGCTCAATCCATGTTATCAAGCTGATCAGGTCTAAAGGAGCCCACTCACACACAGATCTGTTCTGCTACTATCACATGACGCCTCAAGCCCTATACTCTCTATCAATCGAGCCCCTCTACCATCTGTGCCGGGAAACCTGAACCCGCCGCCCCACCTGCTGTTTACCGCCAACCTCTATCCACCGAAGGCATCATGTATACACCTCCTTTCCATCCCTCCTGTCTTCTTTCACTTGCTCATGCTCTAGTATCCATCTTGCTCACTTGCCAGTGTTACATTATAAATATATTTAAATAAAACATTTTCTTTTGGGAACACATTTGCAGCACTTAATAAAACACACAAAGGCACCTTTCCCCCTTCTGTTCGACCTGAAATCCTTCCAGGATGTATGTCCCCGTTAAGTGCCCTCTTTAATTTTACCTCTCCTCCTGCTCTCTGCCCTCGTCTTCTCTCTCCATCACTAGATAACTGCCCTGTTATCAGCCACACTTCTAATCCTTCAGTAACCATCCCTGAGCCGGGCAGTCTGTTAACGGTAATAACTAATACACACTGTAGGTTTGCCAGCAGTAGTGTAGTGTATGTGCGTGCTTGTAACAGAGTAAGAGAGGCTTCTACCTGGCTGCTGTGTTTGTGCGGCTGGCCCATTTCTGCTCCACTGGGCTAGAACGCTTCACAGCTTTCAAAGACAGCTGCAGCCCCTAGATGCCACGTGGCATCACCTCACACGCTCACACAAACACACTGCCCATCACTTACTCTTCTCGATTGTTTCCCTACATAAAGTTTGTCTGAAATGCTTCCTCAGATCCTCCTGTTGTAGCTGTTTGTGGTCTGAACGGTTGTGTTTCGGGTCTGACTGAAGTCATGCAGCTGCGCTCGAGGTCACCGCAGAGCCCTTTAGGCTCAGGTGCGAGGGCATCGCTAATTGCCTGCGAATAAAAAAGAATTAGTAACAGTTTCCTATTAGTCACGTGTCTCTCCAAGCCGGGAAAATAGGTCATTTGAAACGAGAGGGGTGAAATATGGAAGAGTTTACTGGAACTCTCAATATTTTCTTGGCCGCATTCACATTCTGGGGTTCCCAACAAACAAGGCGCAAGATGGAACAGAATCAATTACGGCAAGCACAGACGAGAGTGCACTCCCAAATTCATCAAAAATATGATTTTGAACATCTTCCTTCCCTTGAAGTTATTTAGCTGAATAAATAAGAGCTCATTAGTGTGGCCTTGTTTCAAAGAGCTGATTAGGTTTTACAGCAGTAATTAGCAAGGCTAGCGCTAATTCCTCTGGAAGAGTAATGAAAGTGATTTCCTAATTAGGTTCCTCTCATAAGACGGCACAACAGGCCACTTCAGCGAAACCAGAGGAATGTCAGGGAAATAAAGCCAACTAACAATGCCTTATTAGATTGTTAAAAGAACAAATCTTACTCGCAGCAGTGCGAGATGTGCGCTTACGGGACCAGGTTCGAGTTCTTGGACTCATTGGGAAGCTTTTGAAAATCTGATTGGGGTCAATTGAATTACTCACGTGAAATTAAAACTGGCCCGCTAGCTAGCTTTCTTCTCAGAGGGTGTGTTTAGTTTACGTTGGATGGCTGTATCTAATCTCATTTCATGTGTAAATGTATGTGTGTCGTGATTGACTCCTCATCTTCTCCTTTTCTTCTCCTCTTTTACATTCTGAGCTCTGTTAATGCCCCAGTAGGATTATTTCAAATACTTTAATCTGCTCTCATTGACACAGACACAAAAGGCCAGTGACATCTAATAGCAACCCTTTTCACTACCTCCTGTTTCATCTCTTTCACATCCCAGAGACCCCCTCTCTCTCTCTCTCTCTCTCTCTCTCTCTCTCTCTCTCTCTCTTATTCTCTCTCTCTATTTCTTTCTCTTTTATCATTGTGTGTGTTAGGAATAATTGAAGCTCAATAAGCCATACAGTAATGAGGAAAGGTGTCGTTCTATCTCCCTGGGAACATTGCAGTTGATTTCTTCATCACCATGGATACACTTAAACACTGATAGTGATTTCGGAGTGCAGAAAGTTCAGAGTTCCCGCGCTAACCGTGGGAGTTCTGTGGCTTTGCGCTCGGTCGTGAGCCCTGACCCCACTGGAAG